CGGGACAAAAATAAATTCCTTGGAGTGTTCTTTTAGCTTATGTTTGATACGAGAAAAAGGGCTACATGTATATCATAATACGGTCGCCATTTTGCATATTTAAAAAATCAATAAAATATGTGACGATCAAATCAACATTTTTTTAAAGTGTTGCTCTTGAACTTTTTTTCTTTATTTCAGTAAATTATTTCACCAATGTTTTATCCTATATTATGTTCAGTGGTTTAGTGACAGCATTCCTGTCAGGAAGTATGGCAGAATGGCAATGGAAGTTATTCAAAATTATATGTCGTATATGCGTATCAAAAATACTAGTAATGTAATACAGATACACATCATATCCCTGCTATTGCATATTTTACCAACCACTGAATCAAAGATCTTAATATTTCATTGGTTAACTGGTAGATATGATGTATTCTACTCTGAAGCAATTAGAAAGTAAAGCTGAATATATTTGTCTTTTCTTTGTATATTGCTATATTTGTGAATAAATTATTCCTTGATTTAATGTAGATTTATTGAGTAATTAAGTAAGCTTCCATTAGTCTGCAGTTATTAGTAAATTTATAAATATGTTAGTAACTTCATCTCTTGCTCTTCATTAACTAATTACGCAATTGTGTTTCTGTACTAATGTATTGACGAAATAAATACATTGAGATAATTATATTTATATTTTAGATAGAAAAGTTATAAAACAACGAAATCTGTTTCCAAACATTCTGCCATTAACTAAAGTCAGTATATTGGGAACTGTGCTTCAGATTTTATCATTCTTCCCATCTAAATCGACGCTGTTCATGGAATTTGTTGTATTTACAGTATTTCGTTCATTTCTGTTCAGCACTGCCATGTTATATGTTGTTTCGGCGTATGTATATATGTTATACTCTTATATATACAAAACTACGGCGATGAGGTATGATTCCCGATGCAACAACCATCAACCTTAGACCAAATGACGTGGATGTAAGCAAGTGGAATTATGTTCGGCTTTTAATCACTAATCACTCTAACCCAAATCCTTTTCAATGTCTGTGTTATTTTTGTTCGGTTTTCGAATATCAATATTCTCTCTCTACTGTCCTAAGAGTTTTAAAACTTTATTATTATGTCATAGTGGCTTTTGTACTATAATAACAGTTATATTTTTCTATCGTTTCGCTTGATAATTATGCTTCCAAAACCTCGATCACTTTGATAGAATGATGATGGATAGCTGGATGGATGAAGTGTTGTTTCACGTCCAGTGGCAAATTTTATGTGCATATCAGGACAATTTCATAAGATGATACGAATCCTGCTTTTTACTAATTCGGCATGTTGAGCCGGGTTTTAACGTGCTAATGTATAAGGTAACATCCCGCTGGAAAACATGTCAAGCTACCTTGGCACATTTTACTGACTCCGAGTCCAACAAGTCTTTGTTGTTATTCATAAATTCCTAAGTCAAAGTGCTTAACAGAGAAGCAGTAATATTCAAACTAATTAAAAGCGTGCTGTTCGGTGTGAGCCAAGGCTCCGTTTTGAAGGCCGTACTTCGACCTATAATTGTTAGCTTTTTATACATTGTGACTTGGATGGAGAGTTGTCTCATTATCACTCATACCACATCTTCTTATTTATATGGGTTATTAGTATTACTTTGAAAATATATTCATCTACAGTGGATACATAGCATACATAATGGGTAAAGTGGAAGGAACTGCATGCATGGTTTTCAAATGATATAAAGGAACATTCCGAGTATAACATGTATAATATAATATACAATACAATTGAATGTTACAAACAGGTTTGCCAAGCTAAATGAATTCAACTTGTGATATATTATGGAAAACTTGTCAATCTGTTTATAACTATTTGAATACTCGAGGAATTAAAAAAAAAGAAACTTTTTTTAATTTTCAATGATATATTTGAGAAATATACTACATTAAATTAAAGGCTTAATGGATCAAAGAATCTGTTACTTTGCCAAGGAAGATTATTTTTGCACATATTTTTAATTCAGGGAAGATACTTAAAGTTAATATAACTTAATATCAACAAAGTTATACACTATTCTGTTTCATTTCTAGAAGCAGTTGATCCCAACAATGCCCCCTCTCCCGCCCAATAAAAAAGCTATCCATTTTTAGATATCGATGCATTGTTCTTTCTTTTGTCCACATTTAATTATGTTTCAAAATAATTTAAGGAAACACTTCTACAGTTTATCCAATATTCAAAGATACGTTTTTCATTTTAGATATCCGCTAAAACATACCAATGTTATATTTCCATTGGGTTTGTGTATTGGTGGAATTTTGTCCTTGTCACAGTACGCAAATATTCTGTGGTACAACCAATCTACTAATGCACAATATCAGGTAAGCTGACAATTATAAAATTAGCAATAAAGGAATTTTTTTGACCATATTCAGGTAAAAAAGACAAAATAGAACATACTTATGTGAGCAGAGGTAAGTTACAAGGATCCATAAATTGACTAAATAATCTTCAACCACACAAAGGGACGTGTGATCCTGACTCGATGGTGACAGTTTAAACGTGAACCAGAGAGTAAGTCATGATTCAAGGCTAGTGAAGTGTACTGCTACATATATTTGTTTTTGATATAAATGTTTTCGTTGAATTTTAAATTTAGCCGAGAAATGAGAGTAAACGCACAAACCTTTTTACGAGCAGGTTTGATATGGTTAATACTTATAAAAATGACATATTTCAAAATATATCTATATTATTATTATTATTATACCAATGCAATTAACTTTTTATTGCAGGTTAAAATATTTATGATATTGTTATTACTTGCCTCACTTGTAAATCCGCTTATATTGTTCATGACTGCAAAAGGTGCATGTTGGAAAAAAGATACCAAAAGCAGAGCATTCGTTACACCCAGAGAGAAGACCACGAACTTATAACAAGATTGAAGTACTCCAAATCAGAAAAAAATAAAAAACAGTCTATAAAAATGAATAGTAAACCTTCTTGTTATTCTTTATGTAAGTGACTCTTTTACTCCTTGTATTTTCAAACTATAAAATACAATAAACAGAAACAGCGGAACTGGTATTGGCCATTCAAAAGGTGTTAATGTTCAACTTAAAATGTTCAAACTAGCAGCTCCCATGAGCGTAAATCGCTCACTTTGATGAGATTGCCTTCAATGACTATACATATAAATGCAATAACAATCATAACAAGCCAAGTGTTTTGGCTGTCTGGAAGAAGCATGTTAAACAATTCAAACTCTCAATCGCCCTTGTGGTTTTTCTGGTATTAATATGTCCTTTATGTCTGCTAATTTACGAACAAAGCTGATGTTACTAAATAAAATACCTCTAATAAAAAGGAAGATAAAAAATCAGAAGTCCAATAAAGACAGGGTTCAGCACCATTGCCAAAGAGAAAATCATCGAACAGACACATAAGAATAACAAAACTCCATACGGAAGACTAACGATTGAGGAGCACTAAGCCCATCAAAAAAAGGGACGAACTCCTGTGCTATGGTAAGGTAGAAGTTCCTGCTCTACTAGGTGCAACCGTCGTGTTAGCCATTGCAAGTACAAATACGAAGATGAATCACCTACGTAATTTTGCTATCAAACAAAAATTAAAACAACTTTCTAAATTTCATTCGTCCGAAGCGCTTTTCTGGGTATACTTTCAAGAACGCATAAAGACGAATATTTCAAAGCCTAGAATGTATAATAACCGAAAGATTTAGAGAGCTACAACCTAAGATATTAAATTTTCTATAATATTGCTACCTACCATATACTTCAGTTCAAACAGGCTTATGAAAGATTAGAAACTATTGTGATCTCGAAATGGTCTGATGAGGATAGCTTCAGCTGCTTGCTTTTGAAACCAATTCCAGTATACCTCTGCAATCAGGTAATAATTCGGTAAACGGGAAAAAAGTCACAGAAAAAATAGTCATAACTTTGGTAAGAAAAAAGGTCAAAGGATAAAAGTCACAAGAAAAAAAATAAATGGCAAATAAATCTGATTGGAAATTTTTGTACAAATGTTTAATAGTTCTAGTATTTCATTGCTTTTCTCTTCTTTTAATATTATAATGAAATTTTAATGGTAAATAAATGACATATTAATAAAAAAAAAATAGAGCCTCTAAAGAGTGTCGTTCAACTGCATCTTCAACAATGGCCACTGTTTAGTAAAAAATCATCATTAAAAGGAATAAACTCTATGCCAAAAAATGTTAAAAATTATCATCAAATGGCAATAACTCCAATACCGAGTCGACTGAAGATTCTGGCCATTAAGGTTTATTTGTGGATCTTGTCTTGGTAATCATAAGTGCTTTATAAAGTTTCTATCTATTACAGTTGCCAGGATGATAGGAAAAAATGGGAAAAATCGTCATCAAAGGGCAATAACTTCAATAAGGAGTTGACTAACAATTTCGGTCATGTTTGACTTATTTGAAGATCTTGTCTTGCTGATCATTTTTGCCATTTAAGGTTTCTATCTGTCTAATTTAGTTTTTAAGATATGAGGCAAAAACGCAAAAAAATGGTAAAAATCGTCATTAAACGGTAATAACTCTAATAAGGAGTCGACTGATGATTTTGACCATGGTAACCTATTGGTAGATCTTGTCTTGTTTGACATTTTTTGTATATAAAGATTCTCCCTATCTATTATAGTTTTTCAGATATTAGGCAAACATGAAACAAAATCGGTAAAATTTGTCAATTAAGGCAATAATTCATATAAAAAATCGTCTGACAGTTTTGAAGTGAAAAGACAATATGTAGATCTCATCATTTTGAACATTTGTGTCATGTCAGATTTTCTCTGTTCATAGCGGTTTACAAGATGATAGACAGAACTTGCATTACACATATGTTCTATTTTTAGCTATGTCGGTCATGTTGGTTGGCAGGCGGGGTCATCGGACAATTTTTTTTAAATTAGATACCCTAATGATGAGTGTGGTTAAGCTTGGTTGAATTTGGCCCAGTAGTTTCAGAGGAGAAGATTTTTGTAAAAGTTAACGCCGACGAACGATGGACGACAACGGACGACGGACGCCAAACTCTGAGCTAAAAATGAGAATATTATAAAGCGTATGTTTATTTTATAACACATGATTTTCTGAAGATTGTATATACCTGCAAATTGATATCTTTTAATGGTTGAATGTAATGGTAAACAAAGTTATCTTAATGCATCAGTTAACACATGTCGGAAATAAAAAACATGTCGGAAATTTAAAGTATATCACAACAAATAACTGATATACATATGTTTTCTAAACAATCCGCAAGTACAAAATGGTAAAATGTAACTGCCTATTACTGCTTTTTATATGTGTCGCAATACTTGAATCATTGCTGTTTGCAGTTCTATATGCTGGATGGAGTTCGTATGTTTATATTTTAATTGATTATGGATTTTACATCGATTTGTGCGAAACAACCAAACTTTCGTCAAACTTAGCAGGAAATAATTCCGTTACTTTGATGTTGAGTAGATTGCCAAAAGTTCCGCATAATAATACTGAAAGTTTATATACTGCGATAAGTGAACAAAACTTATCAACAGATTCTTTAGAAAATACAACGATACACAGAAATGCATGCAAAGAACAACAAGAACAGTTGCACCTTCTGTATTCCATATCCATGGTACCCATCTTTTTATTGTCTGTATGGTGGGGTCCTTTGATATACAAATTTGGAGTAACAGGTCCAAAAATCCTATCGATGTAAGTATGCAAATATTCAAGTTTCATTTTGAAAAAAGGGAAACGTAAGTACTATATACAAAGTTATATTTATGAATTGCATTAAAGTGAGAAAGACGATTAGACACTATAATGATTTTAATAAACATGTCGTGTTCATTTTCCTGTGTCAAAGGTCCTGGTTGCTTATTTGTGTAACAACGTGGAATCTATATGTACCTATTCTTAGTGTAGTTTACACAACCAAAAATACAGGTACACATCATGTAAAAATGTATATAACTAGGAAGGATATTGATTTTTGATTATATATAGGTGTAGAACACAAAGTACATACATAAATGTGTACATGTGTGAAACAGTTAAAGGCTAACGAAAGCACAAAGTATAATCTGATTGTAATGTTTGGTCATTACATTAACATCAACGGATGAAAATGAAAAGTTTCAGTCTACCTGATATGTCGGAATTCACCTTGATTTTTAACCAAATGTTACGTCTTAAAGTTTCCTAGCCGGTTTCCGAATACTATCATATCCGACAATTGGACAATTTACACTAATATTCTACATTACAAACTGAAAAACAAATTTAAGGAATTGGTCTTTGCTTCGTTTCATAAAAAAGAATGGCCAACGTACAAACAAGTATATTGTCTTAAGGAGAGATAAATCTTACTTTGTAAAAATCGCTCTGATTCAAACCAAAAATTCTCTAAAACTGACATAATCAAGATGCTTGATTTTTGTATTGACAACATATTTTTTTACGTTTGGAGGACGTGTCAAACTGTGCTTCTCTTCTTGTCGACTTATTCCTTTGTTCGTATGAGGCTGACATCAAACAGGTGATTCTTAGGAAGAATTAAAAGAAGCTAGCATTATCCTTTAACTTCACTTTCCGCTAAAAAAAGGATGTCCTCTAACTAAAACATTCAAAGTTTGGTGACTATGTTGAACACATCTATCCCATCGAACTTGAAATAAAGGATGCAACAGATATAGTTAAGTCTGTCTCATATCTTGACTTTCATCTAGAAATTGACAATGCGGGTGGGTTGATAACAAAACATTACGACAAAAGAGATGATTTCGGCTTTCCAATTGTGCACTTTCGATTTCTGTGTGGCAACATTCCAGCAGCGCCTGCACATGGAGCATAGATCTCCCAGTTGATACGATATTCTAGAGCTTACATTTCCTTATAGAGGGTTCTTGTTTACAAGGAAGGTATTAAACCAAGAGTTCCAAGTGGTGAAGTTAAATTCATCCACTTCAAAATTTTACGAACGTTATCACGAGTTGGTTGACCGTTATGGAAAATCTGATTCACAGATGACGACGGTTATGTTCCAATTGTTGTTACCACATTCCAGCCCTTTTTTCCGAGAATGTGACCTACCAAATTAGACTTATCACCGATTTTGTACTAACATGAGCAACAAGACAGATGCCACATGTAGATCAGGATCTTCTTATCTTTCGGGAGCACCTAAGATAACTTCCGGTTTTCATAGGGGTTTGTTTTGCTGAGTTTTTAATTTTCTATGTTGTGTTTTGTTGCCTATTTCTTTTCGTCTCTCAGTTTTTCGTTTTTTTTTTTTTTGTTTCGCTTTCCAGTTTGGCTTCGACTTATGAGTTTGAATTTGCCATCTCTGTCTTCAGCCTCTCTTGTACAAACTATATTTCCGTGTATTTGTGTCTTATTACTAATGATAGCATGTATTACTGTTTGCATGTTCCGAATAGAATATCACTCTTTTTATCAATGCTGGATACAATTTTTTTCAGAGTTTTAATATGCTGTGGTTGCTTATTTCTTGGTTTTGTAAATCAAGGTGAGTAGATATACTACTGGTACTTGACTGTAAGTTGTTCCCTCTACCCATTGCAGATCCAAACAAAATATTACAAAGAGTAATCAGTTTAATAAAACCAAACTGTTCAACTGGTCAGATGTTTTCACCAAACTGTTCGAGGAAAGCCAAAATAGAGACATCAATTGAATCATAATTAAGACATATATTTAGCTTATGGTATCTCTTTACCGAATCATTATGATTAAAGCTTGGACAGATTTTTTTTTGGTAAAAGGAATAAAAATAACAATGACCTGAAATTAATTTGATACACGATATGGACATTCGGGAAATTTATTTCATGTCAGTTGGGTTTGCATCAGAACCTCAGACTGGAACTCTGAGAGTATTATACATTGGAAAGCAAAAAAACATTAAAAGGTCCCACCCCCTAAATCAAAAAGTGAAATGAAATTTAATTAAAAATCCATCACAAGTTAGGAACACCTGTGCAGTGGGAGGATAATAAAACACATTAAATATAGTCGAAGATACATCAGTGGCACTCCAAACAAAACAGTTGGAAAGACAAATTACCTACGACGTTGAAAACTCAACTTTCCAAAAGTTTTCGCAAATTTGGCTAAAGACTTTATAATCTAGTAATTTTACTTTGTTTTTTTAAACTGAAAAATATTCAGTAATATTGATATATTCGAATACAAAACCATTGACGCTCGGAAAAATGACTTTCAGTCCAACTGTTGTTGGATGAAGTCAGTGGTATTGCATGCAATTGTTATTTCAAATTACCGAAATTGATATCATCCACATATTCTTACTTCAAAAATACATTCTCTTCCATGATGCTTGAAACCAAACATGGGATGTTGAAATGCACCAAAAGTTGAAAAGCTATACTCAGAGCTATATGTAGCGATTATCCATGAACATCAATGCACCGCTTAAATCGGCGCTAAGTTCGATAGAAGATATATATTTTTTCATCGTTGAAGACATTATGTAAGGATGAAGAACAACAACCCAAAAGCTGTGTTTCTAAAAACTCAATCTTGGTTTCGGTCTTTAGTCTCGGTATTAGTAAATAAGAATCGATCTCTCTGTCATGGTCTCACAACTAAAATAGTTCAGATATAATTAAATCTAGAAACAAAAATATGATCAGCATTTGAATGTCTATGAAGAATAATGCAAAGTAAGTATTTTAATCATGCATAAAATGAAGGAAAGACAATAGATTTTTTTATAAAACAACAATCACCATATTATATATTAAAAAATGAAAACAACACGTTATAAATTTCCTAAGCGCTTTTCCGGATTTACCTTAATCAGGAACGCTAAAAGCCGATTTTTTGAAAGCCAAGGATGTATGTATACCGAAACAGTTGAAGAGCTATTATGACCAAAAAGGACACAAACATAGGTCTGTGTAAATGACAGTTAAGATAGTAATGTTGATATAAAGTAGTACTGTGTGCTTTAATGAATAAACTGGTAATTACAGACATCCCACTTCTGATTATACCGGGCATGGTATGTGTTGGAGTTGGTGGAATATGCTTGTTGGTAATAAATCTACAGGTAGGAATTTTTTTTATAATACTTTTATCAAACTTGTATACAAAAGTTTTGTTAAAAAACATTAATTTCAATAGAAAAGTCTTACATTGTTCCTATTTTTAAATCAATAATTTCACATATATGTATTATCATGAGACCTTTAGCTATTGCATGATATATTAAGCCTAGTATCTATGATGAGTTTATTTACAACCACTGTGTATCACCAGCCCAGTAGTCAGCACTTCGAATTCTGTGTTGACACGAATGATCATTGATATGGTTATATTTATGAATTAGCTGTTTTCAAAACTTTGAATAGTTCGAAAACTAAGGATTTCTCCCCCAGAAATAGATTACCGAAGCTGTATTTAGCAAAACCATTAGGAAATTTGGGTACTCAATGTTCTTCGTAATTTGTCTGACCTTTTCACTTTCTTTATTCGAGCACCATTGTGGTTCTTCTTTACACGAAACGTTTGCTTGCCTGGCGTACAAAATTATAAGCCTGGTATCTTTGAAGAGTTTATTAACAACCACTGGGTCGATGTCACTGTTGGTTGAGGTTTCCTCTCCGATGGTATCATCAGCCTAGTAGGCAGCACTTCTGTGTTGATATGAATTATCATCGGTATGGTCGTATTATATGTTAATTGTGTACAAAACTTTGAATTTTTCAAAATACTAAGGACTTTCAACCCCAGGTTTAAATTAACTCACCCGTAGTTGGCAAAACCTATTATGAATTTTGAGTCCTTAATGCTCTTCAACTTCATAATTTATTTTGACTTTTTCACTTTTTTCATTCGAACGTAAATGATGAGTTTTCTCTAGACGAAACTAGCGTCTGTCATACAAAATTATAAGCCTGTGCTGAGTTTATTAAGGCTTGGTCTGTATAAATAATAATTATTCTTTTTATGTTTTTATTTTACCTTCAACGGGATTTTTCCTTGAACCATGTTTTCGAACTCACGCAACCAATCATTTTCCCTTAACCGTATGCCGCCTTGTTTAGCTTGTAACTAACGTAAGATGTGAGTTTTCGCTTCTAGTCTGTTTTACCTAATATACATGAATCTTATGTACATTCATTCCATATATTTAATTTTTTATTTTTAAAACAATTTGTGAAATCAAACATAATAAGAGTTTAAAGAATATATGATTTTCTTAAGGATTTATCTCTAATTTTATTGACTTTCTGTAAATCAGAGGCCAAGGTTAAGCTCCGGCAAAACTAAAAACAAAGAGATTGTGATAAAAATTTGTTGTTTACTTCAAAATCTTATCTCTTTTATACTGATACACTGTTGAAGTTAAGTTATTTCATATTTGAAAATCTGCAAGTGACAGTTAAAATTATGAAATGAATTAAAACCTTACGTTAGAACGATAGCAGGTAAACAGCGACGATGATAAGGTTTAGGAATTAAGATAATTCAAAGTACCTTTTATAACAATGATAATCAAGGTCGTTTATTGAGGTCAGTTTCAGCTTGGTTTATTCTTAAAATGAATAATATTTTTAAAGCATTTCAGATTATCTAGTATTGGGCGTTTATAATCTATAAATCTAACTTATTGGATTTGTCTTTACAGATAAGTTCCCTTTTAACCATTGGGTCTGGATTATATGTTGCTGTTCTTAGTGGTGCTTGTGATTCCTCGGTTATTACATTTCGGATAGTAAAAGTAAGTGGTTATCATTAGAAACAATGGTTTATATCATGGTGTTTAGATGATACATGACGCGTTTTTTGTTCATTACTGGAGAGACCGTCGGTTTATTTACATCAAAATGTCAATCACTAGGGAAACAATTTTGGTCTTGAATTGTCAATTTATCTGAATATCATCTGAAATTCAAAAATGATCATATAAAGTCTTGTCTAAGCTATTGTTCATTACCAAATTATTAAAAACTAAGGTTCTAATTTTTTTTAATGCTCATTTTGGCCATTTAGCTTGTTAAAAATAATAAATCCTTTCAAATTTTTTTTTATATGGGTGTTCCTAATGGAGATAAATCAAGGAAATCTCGACTGGCGCTCGAAATTTATAAAGTGTTAGTGTAAACTTTCAGTCATTATCCTTATGTTTTCGGTAGTTTTTAGATACATGTATTTCGCTTGCAGTCAGTTCCGTACTGTTCGGTCATTTCAGATAATTCGCGATTTTTTGTTCTGTGCAAACCAACAAACAACAGTTCCTTCAAACACTAAGATAATACAATGAACAGATCTTAATTGTGAATAAATATACATACTAGGCATTGGAATTATTAATAAGTTATAGGAAATTATGGTAGTTCTTTAATCAGGCAGTAACCTAACGACAAATTAACCAAAGACAACCCGAAGTCAATATAGTTACGGTCTTCAACAATAGACAGGTGTCTAAACAATATGCATGGCAAGCTTTAATTAATAAGACCAAAATGTCAGGTTCAGCTTAAAATCTACTAGTGATCGGAAGTCAAATGAATATAGGCAATATAAATAGATAATAAAGTCATCAAATATCTGTCATCAAAATACCTCCACCAATACCTGTTATAATCACAATTGCAAGTGCATTTTTTTTTTTTTTTTTTTTTTTATTTCTTTTATTTAATTTTCAAACATATAAAGGTTTTAATAAAAGGTTTTTTGAATTTACAAAGTCCAAAACTAGTATTCTTAGGGATGACAACTATTATTTTGTGCACATACTGTTATTATAAATACGGTGTATTGATCTAGACACTTTTCAAATGACTATACGTATAAGCAAAGCAAGAGTATGGATATTCTTATTGTCTTGTTTTGACTTAAGGAAAAAAGTAAAAAAGAAACAATTTACAATGCATGGGCTCTCTGTAATGTATTAGCACTTAGTACGTTTTTTAGACCAGACGCCATCTAGATATCCATCGAGATGACATAACCCGATAAATACAAGAATATAAATATATAGCGAGCATATGTAATCAAAGTTTTCCTGTTCTGTTTGATTTCATGTTATATGTTTAAAATATATGTAAAGTATCGTTTTACCTGTACAAGAATGAATTTTTGAGCCGGACCAGTAAAAAATGGTTATTCTTTGATGCTCCCTTGTTTCACTTTCCAATTTTGTCATTTTGTCTTTACATGTGCACAATCTCAACTAAAGGTCACATGAAAGGTTGCATGAATATGGATTCAAATGAGTTTAATTATTGACTTGCAAGGATTAATACATCAGCGATGTTTTTTATCTTATTTTAACGAAATTGATCCAAATTGACTACTAATAGCAAAACATTATATCCATATTTCACTTTTATGAATGTTTCAACAAACAAAAATCATATTCTATTTTTTGTCAAATTCGTAGCTCGTGCCCCTTTAATATTTGTATGATTTATTTATATAACCATGTAGTTACATTTAAAAATTCTTTCGATGAAGTCTGAGTTTACCTTAGTTTATGTCAGGAAATACATATGAAGTGTCAAACAAATCACATTGTTATTTGACCTTATCTTTTATGGAAATTATTTTTATAAGAAAATGATAATATAGAGTAGATGAATACGAAATAACAATTCAATGAAATACTAGAAATTACTTAAATGTTAAAGGGAGTGACAGGATATGTTCAGCTCATATCTAACAACCAAGATCAAAATAGCCTCCTTGAAATTAAACGATTCTCTTCGTCGACAATTGATACAAAAACATGTCTTTGAAGGAAAATACACGGTATTATTCAATAAGTTGTACATGAGATTGGAGAAGTCTTCTTTAAGTAATTATCTAAAAGCCTTCTGAAAACTACTGTTCTAATATGCGTGTCTATTTTAAATATTTCATTTATTTGTATCCTTATCTATCTTGACACTGCTATCTCTAGAGAGGAGGACGTTAATTTATCAGATCTAGTCTGTACCTGTAACTTGCAACTACTGTGTTTGTTCAAAGTCTCTTCATAATCATCGATGGCTATCTCTGTGCATATAGACAACGATTGTGAATAAAAGGAGATGCTGATTTACCTATTAAAATGGGGTTTTTATCATCAGTTGATATTTCTTCAGGTTTTCCATGACTATGGTGTTCCATATAGATATCCGTTTATTGGGTTTGTCATATTACATATTATTGTCGCTGGTAGTAGTCTTATGTTGCATAGAAAATTTGACACAAAACCACTAGATGATCAGAAACCAGAAATAGCTGAAGAAATAAATTCCAATAATGCAGACACTTTGTTGGAAAAAGAAAAAGGTAAGACAACAGATTATTTCATAAAAAAACAACCATTTTATTATAGTCTTGAAAAATTAAAAACAACACTATAATTTTCATGCGTCCGAAGCGCTTTACTGGATTTATCCTCATCGGGACAGCTAAAAGCCGAATATTTGAAAGCCAAGGATGTATAACAAACTAAACAGTCGAAGAGCTAAATGACAAAAAATATACCTAAAAATAATAGTCAAATACATCTATGATCAACTTTGCCAGAGGGAGTTTAAATCTTAAGGTGCACAAATATGATAGCGTAAGGATTGATGATACCTCCAAATTAGCTTTACTATTGCAAAATTCTTCCTACAAATCGCTCAACCATATGAAGCTTTTATGATATAAAGATTGCATGTGTGGTACCTACAAATTACTTTACCGATGGCTTTGATAAGACTGCCTATATGGGTAAAATTGTGCAACTTTGTTTGTGTCTATGGAGAACAATCTTCAAAATAATCATTAAAATGGTTTGAGAAATTACAAATCGGAAAATCAAAAAAAACCTGAAGCTGAATAGAAAACACGCAACACAATGACCGAAAAAAAATTTGAAAAGACAAACACTACACAGAAAACTAAAGATAGAGAAACAGAAATTCACTTACCCTAAAATTTGACAAAAATGTGAAATGAAAAAATAACACCTTATAAATTTGGTGCTCCAAAGCACTTTTCTGTATTTATTTTCAGAAGGAACGGTCAAAACCAATACTTTGAAAGGTGTATGAATACTTGAAAATTTGAGGAGCTTTATAACCAAATGAGCTCTTAAAATAGCCAAATCAACCACAGCTAGACTTTGCCCAAGGGAGTTGCAACCTAAGTTTCGTAATAATTTCTTAATTTATCGAAAGAGAGTTTAAGAACAGCATGTTGTGAATCGTGTTAGTATAAAGCACTGACTACTGAGCTGACGATACACTCTATTTGAAATAACACTTTATACGTTTGGTGTATTCTTTCAAAGAATAGACAAGACACAGAAATTGAAAAATAGAATAGCAAAAAAAACAACACTGAAAACTGAAGCAAAAGCTTCCCCTTTACTTCTAGGGGTGAACTCTGGTGCTACGGAAGAGTAAGTAGTACCTGCACTCCACTAGTGACATGCGTCGTGTTGCTCACGGCAAGTAAATCAATCCGGTGATAAGTTTCATTAATTGATGTCGCAACCGAGGAAAAGAGGACGGGATTGTGGCTACGACAAGTGGATCGCATCCGTGGTGACACAGATATTCAATAACGGTTTTAGACTATTGGAAACTAAATATAGCAGAATGTTTTGTTATGTGGTGTTACTTTGGTGTTTTGATGAAATTATGGGTGATATGATCACACGTGGCTGACCTAGGTCTTGATAAAAAAAAGAGCTGTGTGAAATCTATGAAACTTATTTATAATATTATCGCGTTTGAATTTCTCAAATTATCATGCATTGTCCTCTTGTTTTTATTTCATACAGTTAATATCTGTCATTTTAGGGCTAGATGACTCGTTTGAAAGATACAATGCAAACCAAGAAAATGATACTGTGAACAAAGGTCCTACTTTGAAAGACAGTATATGTTCCCTGCCAACAATTTCTTTCCTATTCTTAATGTCAGTTTTCATGTTGAATTTCCTGTACTACATTGGAACAATTAATAGCAGATTACAGAATGCAGTTCCTGATCAAGGTATTTTTTTTTCTTTCTCAAAAGCATGGTAACATAATAAGGAAAGCCGCTAGATACAACAAAGGCTAAACATGTACTTGTCTACAACATGTATACAAACGAAACTAATATAGTTGTATTTAACCTTAAAACTCATTTCATATCATTTTGAATATATATATTCACGGGTGTCAAATGTGGAACAGGGTCTGGAGCACCTGAAATCACCTCAAGTTTTTAGTGCGGTTGCTCAGTCTTAAGTTTTCTAAGTCGTGTTTTGTATTCTGATGTCTTTTGTCTTTTTTTCGTTTTTTGCCAGTTTATTTTCGACTTATGAGTTTGTATGTCCCTTTGGTATCTTTCGCCTCTCTTTTAAAATTCCATTGATGTATTGGGGAACAAAATAAATCATATAGCCGTTTTGCAAACAGTTTCTGCCATTTTTCGGTTGCTAAAAAAAGGTGAATTAAGCAGGTCAGTTAATTCTCATTTAAATCGAAATTTGGTATTTGTTTACAGCGTCTTTAAAGTTCATTTGTGAATGTTTACATAGACTGGGAAGTATTAAAAGAACTTAATTTGAGTGTATATGAATTAAGTGGTGAATCTGGCTACATCTTTTTTTATTTAAGGTGATTTCATATGAAAGAATTAGAACATGTACTAATCTTTAAAAATATAATTGAAACAATTTAGTAAATACGTTTTTTTTTTATCACAATCGTAGAATTCAATGATATTTTTAGTCTACATTTGTCGCAGCCAACGCACGCTTCTATTTATTCCAATAAAGATCTACAAAAGAGGCAAATTAAGTTTTGCAATTATTGGAGCGCGCTCTGGCACTCAATTGCAGGTCCGGATATATCCTTTTGATAACGAATTAAAGCGACTTGGTGTACTAGTATGCGTCATGGAATATACAACAAGAAAATAGACTATAGAGGGCTTCGATTGTATGCATTGATACTACAACCTTAATATTTTAATGTGCACAAAAGTAACAGAGAAAATACTTTTAAGTTTATCAATGATAACAGTAAAATGATAAATGATACGTTACTTAACATGTTATCAGATAGTTCAAAGAAAAACACCCCAAAATTTTCAGCTATTTCCGTTCAGATATAGACCGACGCGCTAATGAGCACAGGCAAACTTAAAAATTGACTCTAAAAAAATAAACTGAGAATAATTTTATCCAATTGCATTGTTTGTAAAATTTTTATGTTTTTCCGCATAATTCGAACACCAATGTATCAGTAGTATATCAAGACTTTACCACATAACAAATATTTTGACTTGTTTAACTTAAATGTATACCATTTTACGGACGCCATATTGCATATTTATAAAATGATTAAAAAATGTGACAATCAATTAAATCAACTCTTTTTTGTAGGATGTGGCTCTTAAACTTTTATTTCTTTATTGCAGTAAGTTATTTCACCAACGTTTTATCCTACATTATGTTTAGTGGTTTAGTGACAGCATTCCTGCCGGGAAGTATGGCAGAATGGCAGAGGAAGCTATTTAAAGGTATGTGTGATATATCCGTTTACTAATGAAATTTGTAATCAACAATACTAGTAATGTAACACATATACATATTATTTATCGAAACTGTTATTGCATGTTTTAACAACCTCTGAATTAAATTCTTTCCTGTTTCATGGGTCAACTTGTAAGCGATGTTGTTTCTATTCAGAAGCAATTTAAAAAAAAATTCGTAAGGGTTCCGCGGAACCCAGTGTCTCGCCTACTTTTGGTGTTAATCGCAGGCTCAACAAAAATGAGGAAAAAATTAATAAAAATATTCCCCTCTATACTATCTTTTGATTGAAAGTAGCTTCTGTCCAAGTTTGGTAAAAATCCAGGATAATTTATGAATCTAATAAATGTTTTAAAAACTTAAACTGCAGATTGTATGTAATGTTGACTGGAAGAAAAACTAAGTCCATCTATAAGTAAAATATGGAAAAAATGGAACAAAATCTCATCAAAATTTACTTCTAGATACTAGCTTTTGATCATAAACACGCTTCTGTCCAAGTGTGGTACAAATCCAGGATAGTTTAAGAAAGTTGTTAAAATTTTAAAAACTTTAACCACAGAGTGAATGTAATGTTAACTGGCAGAAAAACTAAGTCCATTTATAAGTAAAATACGGAAAAATGGAATTTTTTTTTACAAAATTTACTTTTGAATATAATTTTATGATCATAAACAAGCTTCTGTCCAAGTTTGGTAGAAATCCAGGATAGTTTAAGAAAGTTATTAAAATTTCAAAAACTTTAACCACAGAGTGAATATTTGTGGACGCCGCCGGCGACGACGACGACGACGACGACGCCGACGGAATGTAGGATCGCTATGTCTCGCTTTTTCGACAAAAGTCGAAGGCTCGACAAAAAGCAAAATAGATTTGTCTTTATCTGTATCTGTAAATAGTGTGTTTCTTGATTCAGTGTAGATTTATTGACTAGTCATGTAAGCATCAATTATTCAACAGATTTTGTAGTTAACAGGACATTATGCTAGAAACTTTTTGCATTTTATTAACAAATTAATCAATTCTGTGTCAGTCCTATTGTATTAAATTAATAAATGCATCAAGCAAATGATTTCTATATTCCAGATAGAAAAGTCATGATACAACGAAATCTCCTGCCAAACATTTTGCCATTAACTACAGTCAGTATATTGGGAATTGTGCTTCAGATTTTGTCATTCTTCCCCTCTGAATCGACGCTGTACATCGAATTTGTTGTATTTACAGTATTTCGTTCATTTCTGTTCAGTTCAGCCATGTTATATGTAGTTTCAGCGTATGTATATATGTTAAACTTTTATCTATATGAAATTAATGCGATGTGGTATGATTGCCAATGCGACAACTATCCACCCTAGACCAAATGAATAAGATGTAGTTATAAGCAAGTGGGTTTATGTTCGGCTTTTAAAATAATCACTTACCTTCTCCAACTTCAATCCGTTTCAATGTCTGTGTTATTTTTTTCTGTCTTCGAATATCATTATTCTCCTTCCATTGCCCTTAGAGTTTTAAACTTAATAATAATGTCAGAGTGACTTTTGTACTATAACAGTTAGATGGTTTTTGATCGTTTCGCTTAATTAATTTGCATCCAAAAGCTCCATCACTTTGATAGCATGATGATGGATAGTTGGTTGGATGGATGAATTGATGTTTAACGTCCAGTGGCAAATGGTATGTGCATATCAGGACAAGTTCAGAATGATACGAACCCTGCTTTTAACTGATCCGGGTTCTTAACGTGCTAATGTATCGGGTAACATTCCGCTGGAAGACATGCCACGCTACCCTGGCATATAGTACTGACTCCGAGCCGATCAGTCCTCGTGCCTAACAGAGAAGCAGAAATATATTCAAACTAATTAAAATTAGGAGATTATCAGTATTTCCTTGAAAATATATCTATCTACAGTGGATACATAGCATAAATAATGGGTAAAGTGGAAGAAACTGCATGCATGGTTTTAAAATGATTTAACGGCAAATTCCGAGTGTAATGTATTATATACAATACAATTGAATGTTATAAACAGGTTTGCCAAGCTAAATGAATTCAACTTGTGATTTGTTGTAGAAAACTTGTCAATCCATTTATAACTATTTCAAATACACCAGAAATTAAAAAAAAATACTTTTTAATTTTCAAGGATATATTTGAAAAATTCCCTAACGACATTAAAGGCTTAATTGATCAAAGAATCTGTAATTTTACCAAGGAAGATTATTTTTACACATATCTTAAATTCAGGGGAGATACTTAGGATGATCTCAACAATGCTCCCTCTCCCGCCCAATAAAACATTATCCATTTCTAGATATCGATACATTTTTCTTTCTTTGAAAAGAATGATGTTTTATTATGAACTCCATTGTTCATGAAAATAAATACGGTGACTTAAATTATGTAAAGTGACTTTTGAATATGTCCACATTTAATTCTGTTTCACAACAATTTTAGAAAACACTTCTTTACAGTTTATCCAATATTTAAAGATACTTTTTTTCATTTTAGATATCCGCTAAGACATACCAATGTTATATTTCCATTGGGTTTGTGTACTGGTGGAACTTTTTCCTTGTCACAGTACGCAATTTTTCTGTGGTACAACCAATCTACTAATGCACAATATCAGGTAAGCTGGCAATTATAAAATTTGCAATAAAGGAATTATTTTTTAACCATATTCAGGTAAAACAGACAAAAGAAAGAAATAATAGAAACATACTTATTACGAAATGGTGTAATCAAATTGAAACTATTGATATTTACTGTGAGCAGAGGTAAGTTACAAGGATCCAGAAATTGACTTTTGATGTGAGCAACACCTAAACTATCTGATGCACATGTACATGCATCTAACATTTTCTAATTATCCAATCAACCATATACACATCACAAGACCTTATATATTATATTAAATAATCCAAGGCTTCATTAGCTGCACAAAATACAAAATGTAGTGTCATTTTCTGTAAATCAAAATTGAGCATTTAAAAAAAAATGAAATATGTTCATTAAACCACACAAGGGGACCTGGGTTCCTGACTCGAATCACTCGATTGTGACAGTTTCAAACGTGATCCCGAGATTAAGCCATGATCCAAGGCTATTGAAGTGTACTGCTACATATTTTAGTTTTTGCTATAAATGTTTTTGTTGAATTTTTAATTTAGCTGAGAAATGAAAGTAAAACGTGCAAACCTTTTCACGAGCAGGTTTAATACTTATAAAAGTTAATACTTATAAAAATGAAATATCTCAAAATGTCTCTTTATTATTATTATTATTATTATTATTATTATTATTATTATTATACAATTAACTTTTTTTATTTTAGGTTAAAATATTTATAATATTGTTATTAGTGACCTCACTTGTACATCCGCTTATATTGTTCATGACTGCAAAAGGTGCATGCACGAAAAAAGATACCAAAAGGAAAACATTCGTTGGATCCAGAGAGAAGACCACGAACATATAACAAGATTGAAGTACTCCAAATCAGAAAAAAAACAACTTAAAAATAGTCAATAAAGATGAATTGTAAACCTTCTTGTTACGCTTTATTTAAGTGCCTCGTTTACTCCTTGCAATTTTCAAACTATGAAATCAAACAATAAAACAAGGACATCGGAACCGATAGTGGCTATTCAAAAGGTGTAAATGTTCAACACAAATTGTTCAAAATAGAAGCTCCCATGCGCGTGGGTCGCTCACTTTGATTAAATTGACTATGACTTGTAGATGTCTTAACAATCATAACCAAAGTTTTGTGGATATCCTGGACAGCATCACTTCAACTGAGGTCTTAAAGAGGGTCAAACATTCAGTACAACTTCTATACAGTTTTTATCCTCACATGTTTTTGCTTGAAATTTGTATTTGCTGCTTCTCTCACGTTCAACAGACAATCGGCTTTCCTGTAGGAATCAGCTGTGACCATCATTTTGCTTAACGACTTTTTCTTTTATTTTTACGAGGCACAGACTTCATATAGACGCGTCTAAAGATAAAGGGAAAAAGCTGGCATTTATCGTTTACCTCGCGTTCCACTATATAAATGATGTCCAATCACTAAATTATTCAAAGGTTGGCCAGTGACCGTGTTGACAAATCTATCCTAAGTTTGGCAATGGTGTTGTACCCTGTTTTCAGGATTGGACTTCTGATTTTTGAATGACCAATAGGTATCTTCTTTCTTTATGTTAGAGGTATTGTTTTTAGTAACAGCAGATTTGTTCGTAAATAAGCAGGCATAACGAACAAATTTATACCATAAAAACCACAAGAGTGATTGTCACTTTGAATTGTTTAAGGTAGATCATCAGTATATATTTCCTCAGATAGAATTTTCTTATACTTTTCCAAAATTGAAGATTTTACTTTGCTTTTTTCAAAAATATAAAAAAAGTATGGGTCACCGTGCTATTTTTCAAGCTACAAGTCGTGCAAAATTGCCCAAATTTACAAAGATTGTTCATAAAAAAAACTATTTTTGTGAATTAAAAGAAATCTATGAGATAGAATTTTGAAATAGAATATGAGAAGATAGGTGTTATAACATGCTTTAAAAAAACAACAACAAAAAATGTTGCCACCGAACTTGTTTTTTTGCTACAAGTAAAAAAAGAAAATTTCACTATCATTCCAGTATAAAATTTTTGCTATAAGAGTTATCTCCCCTTAAATGTATAAGTTGAAAAACTAATTCTAAAAAAACACAAATATATTGGAATATTTAAACATTTGGATAATGCAATAAATCACTTGTTTTTCTTTATACAATGAATAGTCTTACACATAAATGGCAAATCTGTCTCAAAATTTGCAGATATAGGCAGAACTAGAGCCAATGTGTACTGCTATTGTACAATCCAAGATGGTGGTATACAGACAATCAACCTTAACATGCTTCTGAATAAAGTCGTAATTTTGTTTTCAATCAATAAATGAAAACAACTTTCTAAATTTTATTTGTCCGAAGCACTTTTCTGAATATACTTTCAAGAACGCCTAAAGCCGAATATTTGAAAGCCTAGGATGTATAAGAACCGAAAGAGTTGGAGAGCTACAACTGAATCGAATTTTCTATAATATTGCTACCTACCATGTACTGCAGTTCAAATAGGCTTATTTAACTGTGTTAAAAGTAATTACAAATGGCTGATATTTTTGTTCAAGCATATTGTTTTTCTTAAATTGTTTAACTTTTCACAGCGGTATAACATGTTACTTTAATTACTCTTCCCTTAGTTTATTTTTTTTTTTGTATTGACATTGTATCATAGATCAAATTTGTTCAGAATATGTTCACTGGTGTTAATATGTCTTTTGATTGAGTTAAGCCATTTCAATTGATATTCTATAGTGTGTCTTTCTATGTTGTGATGTTACACTTAGTCTATTGTTTCAGATAAGGGTGAAGGTTTAGTACCATTAAAACGTTTAAACCCGCTGCAAATGTTTGCACCTGTCCTAAGTCAGGAATCTGATGTTCAGTAGTTGTCGTTTGTTGATGTGGTTCAAAAGTGTTTCTCATTTCTCGTTTTTTATATAGATTAGACCGTTGGTTTTCCGTTTGAATGGTTTTGCACTAGTAATTTGTGGGGCCCTTTATACCTTGCTGTTCGGTGTGAGCCAAGGCTCCGTGTTGAAGACCGTAGTTTGACCTATAATGGTTTACTTTTATAAATTTTGACTTGGATGGAGAGTTGTCTCATTGGCACTCATACCACATCTTCTTATATCTATTATGAAAGAAGATAGAAATTATAGATCTCGAAATGGTCTGATGAGGATAGCTTCCGCCTGTTTTCGAAACCAAATTCAGTACACCTCTGAAGTCAGGTAATAATACGGTAAACAGGAAAAAAGTCACAGGAAAAAAAGTCACAACTTTAGTAGGAAAAATGGTCAAAGGATAAAAGTCACAAGAAAAAAAGTCACAAATCTGATAGGAAATAATGTCCATTTTTGTACAAATGTTTAACAGTACTAGTATTTTATTGCTTTTTTCTTCTCTTAATCTTATAAGGAAATTTCGATAGTGAATAAATGACATATTAATAAAAAAAAAAAAACTAGACAAAATGATGCCCCCGCACTAAACTCTGAAGTAACTGTATTACAACAAAGTCAATGTAGGACTTTCTTTGAGATATTATTGTGTCTGGGAGACACAAATGATGCCCCTGTAGATGCAAAGTGCTATTTTAAAATACACAAAGTTGAGCATGGGAGCACATAGGTCTATGATTCACTGTAGGAGTAGTTATCCGGAAATGCTATGCACCTCTTATGCAAATATATACTCCAAAAATGACAAAATTCAACTATCTCCCAAATGAGCAAATATTAATAAAAATCAAAACCCTGATCACATGCACACCTTCAATATGTGTACAAACAGCAGGCAAAGTGAACACTTCCTAGCATTGAAAACTGTAGGAGAAGTAATCCGGAAACGCTATGCACCTCTTATGCAAGTAAATACTCCAAAAATGACAAATTTCAACTATCTCCCAAAAGAGCAAATATTAATAAATATCTAAACCCTGACCACCTACAATAAATGTACAAACAGCCAGCAAAGTGAAAACTTCCTAGCATTCAAACTGTTGGAGGAGTTATCCGGAAATGCTATGCACCTCTTATGCAAGTATATACTCCAAAAATGACAAAGTTTAACTATCTCCCAAAAGAGAAAAAATCAATAAAAATCAAAACCCTGAACACATGCACACCTTCAATATATGTAAAAACAGCCAGCAAAGTGAAAACTTCCTAGCATTCAAACTGTAGGAGTTATCTGGAATAACTATATACCCATAATGGGAGAGACGGACTGAAGGACAGATGAAAGAACGGACAGACAGACCGACGGATAGACGGATAGACGGACGGACGGAGAGGGGTAATACAATATGCCCCCCAACATTCAGTTGCGGGGGCATAAAAAGTATGATTTTTAACTTGAAACCTAAGGATAAAAGATCAACAAATACGTATGGTTATATATTACAACAGAGTTGTGTTTCCAAAGAAGCTAACAATAACGTGACATCATTATAATAAACAAGTAGAACTATGATCTATTGTTCACAAATGATACCCCCGCTTTAAAGTATAATTTGGTAAACAGGAAGTTGATGAGCGATGAATCTCAAAATGCATCTTACTGTATAGCATGTTCATATGAAGCCTTATAACAAATTTCAGTCAGGTCTTATTTGAAGTTCCCTTAAAAAATGCAACGAAAATTTCACACATGACCATTATGTGTTAGAAAAAATTAGTATTTCCGTAAACTAGAAGTTGGTATGGGATTGATCTGAATAAGCATTACAAGTTATATTACACTCACATAAAGCCTAATAAAACTAGATGTGTAGGGACGACACTTTTTTAGAAGTGAAAATTTGAGAATGAAAATCTGTATAATTGTTATTTTCAAGAAATTCTCAAAGTCCAAAGCCCTTAATTTTGGCAAAAATCAGCGGAGCAGAACTAAACATAAACTCAGTCTGTAACTCATCATAGTAGACTCACATATCAAAAATCAACTCAATATGTGAAGGTGTTTAGAAAAAAACCCTGTAATATTGGCAATAAAATGCCCTGCTGGGTGCAGCTTGATACGACCGCAGAGGTCGATCCCTGAACAGTTGGGGTAAGTATGGACATAACATTCAAGCTTGATACAGCACTGAATTTGGATTGTGATTAAATATTTGACACAGCATAGGTTTCTGACACAGAATGAATGTGGTCCAAGAACTTAAAAAAATTTAATTTACCTATTCAAACCATATCATTATTATTTGCTTTTATATATAAATCAGAAATAACCAATTTAAAATGGAAAATTTAAAAAAAAAAAAATCGCTCCCCCAAATTTTTTGAACCCCTTTATGATTCATCACCCCCAAACTCAATCCCAGCCTTCCCTTTGTGGTACGGTACCTTGCAGTACAATTTCAGAGAGATCCATACACTTGAACACAAGTTATTGTCTGGCAACTAGAAAAATGCTTGTTTTTAGGTCCCTTTTTGGCCCCAAATTCCTAAACATTTGGGGCAATTACCCCCAAACTCAAACCCAGCTTTCCCTTTGTGATATGAAACCTTGTAGTACAATTTCATAAAGATCCATACACTTACACACAAGTTATTGTCCTGAAACTAGAAAAATGCTTGTTTTTTGCCCCTTTTTGGCCCCTAATTCCTAAAAGTTTGAGGCAATTACTCCCAAAATCAATCCCAGCCTTCCTTTTGTGGTATGATACCTTGCAGTACAATTTCAGAGAGATCCATACACTTGAACACAAGTTATTGTCTGGAAACTAGAAAAATGCTTATTTTTGGCCCCTTATTCCTAAACGTTTTGGGCAATTACCCCCAAACTCAATTCCAGCTTTCCCTTTGTGATATGGAACCTTGTAGTACAATTTCAGAAAGATCCATACACTTACACACACGTTGTTATCATGAAACTAGAAAAATGCTTGTTTTTTGCCCCTTTTTTGGCCCCTACTTCCTAAAATTTTGAGACAATTACCCCTAAAATCAATCCAAGCATTCCCTTTGTGATTTGGAACCTTGTGGTACAATGTCAGAGAGATCCATACACTAACACACAAGTTATGTCTGGAAGTTACAAAAATGCTTATCTTTGGCCCCTTTATGGACCCTAATTCCTTATATATATTGGTACCATAACCCCCAAAATCAATTCCAACCTTCCTTTTGTGGTATTGAACCTTATGGTAAAATTTCATAGAGATCCATTCACTCAAAACTAAAGTTAGAGTGCGAAAACCAATGTGTCTTCGGACGTCAACAACGACGACGACCACGACGCCAACGTCATACCAATATACGACCGCAAAACTTTTTTGCAGTCGTATAAAAATGAGCAGAGCGGAGTGGAACCAAACATAAACTCTATCTGTAACTCATCATACTAGACTCACATTCTCAGAATGATGGAATGAAAGAATGACGGATAAGGGTAAAACTAAATGGGCCGGACAACTTTGTTGTGGGGCCATCAAATCTAGGAAGCTTTGATATGAAGTTACCGAGAAAAATGCAAGACATTTTATTGGACGGATAGACAGACAGGGGTAAAACAGTATGCCCCACTCCTTCATAGCAGGAGTATAATCAAATATAAATCATTGCACCTGAAATAACTGGTAATTACATGATACAATTTACTCACCTGTTTTATGATTTTTTTTTTACCACCTTGCTGAGCATTGCATAAAAGCACAAACCAATCAGAGGAAGATGTATATATTTATATATATATAGTGAAGGGAACCTCCAAATAAAAGATGTGATTGAATAGTTTAATGTTAATATTTTAATATGCTGAATGAACTTCAACATTTTTCATCCCACTTTTTTCCACTACTATCAAACAGAATGATCGGAGGCTGTCGTATTTCGTCAGCAGCTTTGCAGTGATGAGTTGTTAAGTATGAGCCCTTTTCTGATAAAGTCCATACTTCCTTTTTTCTGATACTTATGTTTAGCATGAAAACTCTTGCATTCACAAAAATACTTTTTTTAAGGAATGATATTACTATAAATAATCACAAATTATTCATACAGACTATTTAAAATTTGTGTCACTTGAATTAAATATAAATAAAGGTGTAGACTGTACTAAGAACTTCTGTACTTTTTCAGAATTCATAGGCATATAAAGTAAAGAATTTAGTATAGTTTCCTTTAGCCCTACATTTGAATAAACACGACTCAGTCCTGCTTCTTTTGAGATATTCTCCATCATTTTTGCAAGTTGTCTTTCCCCTTAGGGACGTGATGTGTACCAATTGTCATCAGTCATAGATTTTTGACACCTAGGTTGTTGGAAGAAGTCTTCTGAAGCTTTGTTACGCTTTGTTAAATATTTCATCAATGAGGCAACTGGACAATATATGTTTCTTGTTGCAACCATTTTTGGACTGACTTCACCAGGTTGTCTATTAGGATCCTTTATTTCTACATATTCCATACCCTCATCATCAGTCTTAAAAACAAACATATGAGTTCTGTAATCACGTTGTTTTAGACAATTTTTGTACGTAAAATTAAGAGTCAAATCAAGCCACACTTTGTTTTGCAATCCTTTTGGAGTATTAATAGTTAAAACTGGTGATCTTGTTAACTTTTTCATGTCTTCTCCTGAAATTGGTGGTGGTTGTTCTTTCTTCACAACTTCCATTTTTATTTTCCGCATCATAGCCTTGAAAACCTTGTTTGATTTATGAAAGGCTGGATCAGTGAATAGGGATAACGACTTATTATAAGGGTCAGTAGTCAGATGTCGATTAATGGAAGCTCTAATGCCTCTGAATGAGTTTGTTGCATATAATTTTCCATCAGCTGTTCTTAATTCAGCATAAAATTTTTCAAGTCTCTCATCAAGAACTTTTATGGATAAATTTTCAAAGTTTGGATCAAACTCCCTTTGTTTCAACCATTCTGGAAGGAAAAAAAGCAAGATTATCAATGTGTCAAATAAAATGAAAACAGTAACAGTCCTTAAAATTGATTATATAAAGCTGTTTTCTATGTATACCAACTTGATAATTTACCCATATACATTTCAAAATCATATCAAATTTCTATATATAAATTATGCTAAGGCCAAAACAAGGTATAGTTCAGTTTCCTACCTCTCTACTTACCCGACAGGAAACAAGTATTTATATACTTTGTCTGGTAAAATGTAAATTAAACAACAGATGTATGTGGTAATCTCTTAAGTTAAGCTAAAAAGAAATACTTATCTGTTGTAGACCTGATATTCTAACACAAATGGACCTCTTACTATTATAAATAGAAACTAAATGTAAATCTTGATGTATTGATATGATAAAAGAGAAAATAAGTCTCTTAAAATATAATTTACTACTTATTCTAGAAGCATCTTATTATACCATGCAGGTTTCTGATTGAAATGTAAAATTTGCTATGCACAACTCAGCTTGGGATTTTTTATTGTAACAGGAAGTTGAAAAAATTAAATGTTTTGAAGTTCTATAGATAACTGACATGCAACTTTCTGGTAGAAGAAAGCTAATAAGTTCTTTACAAAAGCAATATATCTAAAAATATATGTTTGGGCAATGTAAATTATGAAAATAAATTACTGGTAGGAGATTATTATCAAACAAGAAAACACAATAAAAACAGGAATATAAATCTTCTTCTTGGTGAATTTTTTTTTCAAATATGTACTTCAATAAGTACCTCTCTTCCCTCAGTCAAAAGGCACTAAAAAAAATTAAAAATATACAGTATATCCATTATACAAAATAAAAAATATTGTGCTCAAGGCGTTTTTCTTGGGAATGCTCAGAAATAAATGTTTAGAAAACCAAAGATGTATAAATACATGGGATACTACATAACCAAATAAGACAAAAAGGACAAAACCATCTGATTTTTGCGTTGCCTCCAGGTTGCAACCTTTATATTCATTCCAAAATTTATCAGCATATCTATATAAAACAGGCAGTCAGTGACCTACTATGGTATAAACATGGTCACTAAATTCTATATGGGGCAAGAGCGTATACGTAGCTGTGTATTAAATATTTTGGTCAAGATGTGACGTCTATAGAAGGTACAATATAGTAAACTACAATGAACTATGTCCTTTTTCTGAAAAACTGACAACTGCTTTATCCTGTAATGACTAAAAGTCCACAAGAAGTGTGTTGACGCAATGGTAACATGATGGTAATAAAAAAAATTTTAACATACCAAATTTTCTTTTTATGACAAATATATAATTTACTATCTTATTATTAATTGTTTGTAGGTTGGCTTTTGGTTTAAAAATTTAGAGTCTTAATCTGGAAAAGAACAACTTTAAGCATACATCAATTGAAAAGCCCTAAATAGAAAAAAATGGGATTTTCAATGTTTGTTGTAAAATGAGTCTATATAGGGTTAGAAGAAAATTTCCTCATAAAAACAACCTAAACAAATTGCTGTTGAAAGCTTGGACTCTTGATAATTAGAGAGATGGTATTCTCCTAGCACATTACATCAGATATATATCCTCAGTCATATGTTAGATGTTGAGTAACTACATGAACAATAGTTTACTATACAAAAAACTACATAGTAATCTTTTATCACAATAATAAAATACAAGTTGACATAATACAAACTAACCCTTAAATGTACTAACTCCCCATCTTGTTTGTCTCTTTGTTCCTCTTGTTGTTTCAATATCAATCAAAGCATCTATTTCCCCATCATTCATTACAGGAAATCTAATACCAGAGGATTCCTGTCCACTTCTACTCGTCTCTGAATCCTCTTCTTCAGAATCAGAGTAGTTGTCCTCTAACATACTTGTAGAAACTTTAAATAAAAGTAGCAAAATGAATAGTTACACTTACTTACTTTCACAAGACTTATCAGTACATATACAAAAAGTAAGCATAACTCTGGTGAACCCACATGTAATCAATTTCTTCAAAACTTTTAAGAGGTTTAAATCATAGCAGGTTTTGTGGTAATTCTAAGGTACATCATACATTTTGCAATGTTATTTTGAATTGCTGAATGCTGTTGGCATGTAGAAAAAATTATATACTCCAGAGTCAAAAGTCAGTAATATGAAATTAGTCTATTACTGGACTGAACATGACTGTATATTGACCACTTAATCTTTTTTTTTCGGTAGTTTGCTGTCTCATTGAAGTATACTACACATGTCATGTCTTTTTATTCCTATCAACTTATTTCATTAAATCCATTTGTACTCATGTATGTACTCAATTGTTCTCAAAACAACATTTGTAATGTGATTTATTTTATACGGCAGTACCTGGTTTGTACAATAGTTTATTCAATGAATTAAATCATGCAATATCTAAGATAATTACAGTATGAACAAATCGGACCAAAAACTGACAACATTGCTTATTTTAATCTGTCTCTAAGTATTGTAGTACTTAAAATTAGAAGTTGAATTGTTTTATTTATTGTTAAAATTACTATATTTTAGATTTTTTTTTTGTTACTGTTGACGAACAAATTCTGGATTGTCATGCTTGATCAGCACTTGATGATTAATCACTTGTTTTTACTATGGACATAGAATTGTGACAAGAATTACATATAACAAGAGGCTCATGAGAGCCTGATATTGCTCACCTGCAATTTTAGTTTCGGGCATTTGTAGATCTTACTTTGCTGAACAATTTTGTCATTTACACTTTCTCTCTTTCTATAATAATATTAAAGATAATACATATCCCAAAACTGTAAAAGTTCATAAAAAATAACTATTTCTGGACAGTGACCCAACAATAAGTTGTCCTATTGGTCTGAAGATTACTTGACAGGTAGATCTAAACCTGTTTAACACTTTCACCTGTGTCAGTTTTGCTCTTACTGCTTTAGTTTTTGAGATGAAAGCCAAAAACTTCATTTGACCCCTATGTTCTTTTTTTAGAAACTGCCACCTTGTTTTTTAATGGATCAAATCTCCGAATACAATCTATAAACTAGATATCCTAAGGTACATTCAATTAAAGTTTTTAATTATTTAGCCAAGTAGTTTCAGAGAAGATTTTTGATAAAGTAATTAGACTTTCACAAAAAATGTAAAAAAAAAAAATTTTAAGGGCAATAACTCCTTAAGGTTGCACTTTGTAAATACAGCTGTTTCTCAAACCACGCCTCTTTTGGGGAGATATATAATATTCATAGATATGTTAATTTGTTAAGGTACTGGTTCCCATTTATGATCTCTGTGTTTCATCTCATAGAGACATCACTTGGGAATGTAACCAGTATAGAAAAACATGGTAGCGCCTAAATTTTAATTCTTAGGAGGTTCAAAAATGGAGGTAAGGGTAGTATAGAATTTGAGTATAAGTTTAAACTCTTAGAAGTTCAGGGCATATAAATGTTGAAAATATGCCGCACAGCCCTATATTTTGACCTTTGAATAAAATAGTAGTGCATATAAACTTTCCGTTTTAGGATATTATTTTTCACGAAACTTCATAGTAAAAGTGTCACAGTTTTAGCCGCAAAGGGGATTCCTATGGGAAATTGCATTGTCTATATTTACAGAATTGCAACCTATATAGGGTTAAAAATTAGAACATACAGAATTTCACAAAATCTTGTTTATCTCAGAGATTTTGAAGAATTTAACTCAAATATGAAGTTTTATAAATATTTCATGAAGATTGAGAAAATCCTGGGCCTTAACTATGATGAGTCAGCATAAATTCACAGTTTACAGTATGCATTGTTTACTTAAAGCCCTGAATTAAAAATAAATTCATAATATATGCCTATTTGTAATTTAAATTGTTTAGAAGTGCTTATATTTACTCTTCGCAGTAATCATGGTAATTGCAACTCAAATATTTTTGGTGGGGTGTTTTTGTCCTGTCGATAACCCAAAAGTAAGCCGTAACACCTAAATGTGCTTTTTTGTGACCGCGGCATAAAAAGTACAAGCTAGAATTACAAAAAGACCTCAATAAAACTTACAATAGTGTGTTCTATCCTAAATATGTACCAAAGAATCCTCATTGCTAGAAACAGGGAAAAAATTTAGGAAATGTGAGGCCCCAGGGGCAAAAAAACAGAGAAAAATGCCTCCCCTGGGTCATAAAACAGATAATTTAACTTCTAAATGCTATGATTTTATTATTTTAAAGGTCTTTTGTAAAGAAAACAATAACTGTGCTAGGAAGTTATGCAAAAATCAGATGTAAGCAGTCATTTCTATCAAACTTTTAGTGAATTTATGCACCAGACTGATATCTTCATAAATACAACTTTTGCAAATATGGCTTTGTTTAAACACTTCTAGTTCATATATTAACTAACTTATGTTAGATATACGGTTAGGGATGATACTGTTGTAACATGAATTCTAAACTGATCATTTGAGGCAGAAATTGTGAACTTTCATTGGCAAATAGGCATACAGTAAGATGTGGACTGGAGACACAGGCAGGATTAAATACTTTGATAATCTTGAATGTTGGAATGATTAACTACTAAACATTACATTTATAGTATTTTAAAATGCTTTCAATTTATTATCAGAATAGTTTAAAACAGGTTTTAGACAGTTCATGTCAGAAAACATGCACATAGGGTAAGCTGGCAATAATTAAAGTCTTGTTTTCAAATTCTTTAAAAAATTGAAACAGGGGTAGGGGTATAAAATGTACTGTAAAAGGAAACTTAGAGTATATGCAGTGATTTCTTTAACGCTATAATTTTGATAAATAAGTATTGTTGTGAGAAAAAGTGTTTTTAGAGAGTTTTCTATTTGAATAAATGTTTGTATAGGTTGCACTTTGTAAATACAGCTGTTTCTCAAACCACGCCTCTTTTGGGGAGATATATAATATTCATAGATATGTTAATTTGTTAACGTACTGGTTCCCATTTATAATCTCTGTGTTTCATCTCATAGAGACATCACTTGGGAATGTAACCAGTATAGAAAAACATTTTAGCGCCTAAATTTTAATTCTTAGGAGGTCCAAAAATGGAGGTAAGAGTAGTATAGAATTTGAGTATAAGTTTAAACTCTTAGAAGTTCAGGGCATATAAATGTTGAAAATATGCCGCACAGCCCTATATTTTGACCTTTGAATAAAATAGTAGTGCATATAAACTTTCCGTTTTAGGATATTATTTTTCACGAAACTACATAGTAAAAGTGTCACAGTTTTAGCCGCAAAGGGAGTTCCTATGGGAAATTGCATTGTCTATATTTACAGAATTGCAACCTTAAGGGGTCAATTGTCTATTTTGATCATGTTGACTTATTTGTAGATCTTACTTAGCTGAACATTTATTGCCATTTATACTTTCTCTCTATCTATCATAATATTAAAGAAAATAACCAAAAACAGTAAAATTTAATAAAAATAAACTATTTCGGACAGTAACCCTTCAATGGGTGGTCCAATTGGTCTGAAAATTTCATAGCAGATAGATTTTGACTTATTCATCACTTTAAAATGTTAAACTACTGTTTCGTAACAGTCACTTTTGCTCTAACTGCTATATTTTTTGAGAAAAAATCCAAAAACGGCATTTGACCCCTCTGTTCTATTTTTAGCCATGACAGTCATGTTTGTTAATGGATAAAAACTACAGATACAATTTATAAACCAGTTACCCTAAAGAACATTCAGTTGAAGTTTAGAAGTATTAGGCCCAGTAGTTTCAGAGAAGAAGATTTTTAAATGTTAGCAAACATAATGAACAAATTGTGTAAAATTGTCTTTAAAGGGCAATAACTCCTTAAAGGATCAATAAACAATTTTAGTTATATTAACTTTTTTGTAGATCTTACTTTGCTGAACATTTTTGCTGTTACAGTTCATCTTTATCTTCCATTATATTCAAGATAATAACCAAAAACTGCAAAATTTCCTTAAAATTACCAATTTAGTGGCAGCAACCCAACAATGGGTTGTTCAGTTCGTCTGAAAATTACAGGGCTGATAAATCTTGACCTATTGAAAATTTTAAACCCCATGTCAGATTTGCTCTAAGTGCTTTAGTTTTTGAGATATAAGCTTAAAACTCCATTTGACCCCTATATTCTTTTTTAAGCCATGGTGGCCATGTTTGTTGATGTATCAAATTTTCGGATACAATTTATAAACTAAATACCCTGAGGAACATTCAGTTAAAGTTTGAAGGTATTTGGCCCAGTAGTTTCAGAGGAGATGAAATAGTTTACGAAGACAACGGACAACGACGATGGACGACAGACAACGACGGGCGCCAAATGATTGCATAAGCTCACAATGAAAAGAAGAATATTTTTAAAAGGTTAAATGGTAATGTATAAGTTTGTATCATCATGTTATGCTTTGATGTTCAAAATCGTCTTTGAGTTAGCTAGCATTTATCTGAAACATTAAAACAAAATCTTCTGTTTTGAACAAACACAGTAACAAACTTTAACATAGCTTAAATGGTAAAAAAAAATGTAACAAAAACATACATTTTATTATTTTTATTTTCTCTTTGTGCATTCCCATGTAACATTTTTTTTTATAATTTGTTCTATGAAACCTATGCTTCTCATATGAAATGGATATGAAGAGTTGCCTCCCATACACCCCAAATTGTATTATTTTAGCATGTTCAATACATAATATTCACTTATAAAATATTTGAGTTTTCTCCCCTTTAAGATAGTTCAAGTTGTGATCCAAAATATTTGTAAGCTAATTTTTCATGGGATAACAATTAAAAAAAGGACAACCAAGTAAAATCAATCCATATTACGGACATATAAAACCTTTTACGACTGAAATAAGAATAGATAATAAGGCTGAACTCCTGGTCCAATAGTATATTAAAAGTTTGTTCTCTAAATCGAAGTACTATGAATGTTAATAATAAAATATGCTACTGTGTTTAACCAGACTTTTGACAGAATCATAGAAGTACCCTGTCCCACAGTGATTTTACCTTTTTCTATTGAGTAGGAACTGTTGTCTGTAACCAGATCTGTTTGTAAAGGAACCTGAAATCATATCTCAATACATGTATATAAATTATACTTTTAATATTAACATTACACCTTACAGGATATGATATGCAATATGTAAAGAGAAGGTACAATTTTGATTGTGTGACCCTGTTCAGTAAATAAAACAGCTTACATACAAAGGCATTTTGTAATAAGACAATTTTCATGAAAATTGTTTGCAGTAACATATTGCCAAACTATTTATCAAACCAAACTGCTTAACGATATAAAAACAAATGTGTAAAAAAAAATTTCCAGTACATGTATTATACATAATTTAAAGTATGTTAATTAACAAATAACTCATGATCTGCAATATTTTTGTCCAGTTTGATTACAATTCGTCTTCAACTACCAGACACCACTGACATGAGGGCAAATGAATCAGGCTGTCAGTTTATTCTTTTGAATTGTTTCATATTTTATCATCCTTGGGGCTTTTAAAGATACTTTACGGTTTGCTCATTGTTGAAGGCTGTATGATGACTGTAGTTATTTACATCATTGTCATTTAGTCTGCTGTTGTCTGCTCTTTGGTCGGGTTGTTGTCTCTTTGACATATTCCCCATTTCCATTCTCAATTTTATCGATTGGTAGTTGTCTCATTGGCATTGAATCAAAATACATCTTTTTAATTTCATATTTAAATAAATACAACGATAAGAAAATTTAAAAGAAATTCTGTGTACTTTAAAAAGAAATGTACATGTAAGTATCACAACTAAACATGCCAAATGCACCTTTTCTTTGCCGATCATAATAAAATAAAAGTTACTAGTTCATCATATATAAAATAATGATCATATCTATGCCCAATGGATATGTAATTTAAAATATAATCTATTTACCAAATCAAAATTTTTTGGTTTAGTTCAGAAGTTTTTCGCAGTTTAGATTTTTATAAAAATGTAATTATATAGTACAGGACAACATGTAGAGATAATCTGAGTTCAGGCAATCTAGGTTTCTGGCATGCATTCTCTCACTCCTTTGTTGCACATCTATTCAAAATAAAAGACAAGGTCAAAAGATAAAACGTTGCACTGTTTTCTTACTGGAACTCATATTTTACACCGGTAACATAAGAGGTACAGATTTTGATATTTTTTTAGATTGAGTTGTTTCCCTTTGTACAGTTATTGGAATTAAGTTTGGAAATTTTTACTCTTTATAAAAATTACTATTTGGTGAATTTAGATATTCATAATATATCTAAAAAGAAAGCAAAGACATAAAGAAATAGTTTTTTATCTCATTGTAAAAAGAGATTTTTGAAGCTCTTACAGGTTAGAGATAACTGTGAGTGTGCAGATAAAAGTGTGGACAGTTTGAAGTGAAGGTTGGCAGTCATTTTTGCTACTAACAATTTTTTTGGTGAAATGTCATTTTGAAAACTTGTTTGTGAGGATTCAAATATTGTAGCCTAAGGTTAATGTAATCAGCTATAAATGTCAGACAGATTTATAAAGATTGGTATATAATTGCAATGAGATGTCTAGAATCTCACCTTAATTAAGACTTTGCCTAAAATTTCTATGAGATTGAAGAGGAAGAAAATATTTTTTAATCTTTAATGTGAAATTTTTATAAAAGAATTTAGAAGAAAATTTAAGTGATACAGAAATACAACTGTGATAATATGTATTGATGATTTAGTCACAATAAATTATGGTGATATATACATATTGATTTATAAAGCCTGTGCCGTTAGTATACACACCTGTCACAAACTTTATATGGCTGATCATGAATAATTAAAATTCTGGTCCTTTTCTGACCTCTGAAAAAACTAGTCGGTTTTTCAGTGTTCAAGTTTTGGTACAACAATGTCCAAACTTTCAAGGAAGAATTCATTGTCTGTAATTCAGTGGTTGTCGTTTGTTGCTGTATATAATATTTATTTTTTATTTATTGTTTTGTACATAAATCAGGTTGTTAGTTTTCTCTTTTGAATTTTGTTTTACATTTGTCATTTCAGGGCCTTTTATAGCTTACTATGCAGTATAGGTTTTGTTCATTGTTGAAGGTTGTATGGTGAAGTATATTGGTTAACTTCTATAGCTATGTCCTTTGGTCTTTGGTGGAGAGTTGTCTCATTGGCAATCATACCACATCTTCTTATTTTTATATTCAAACAGATTTACTATCTTATCATTATATACTGTATACATGCAATATCTTACACTAACAGGGTTCAATGAAATACATTTCTTGTTTGACCGAAGGTCATCTTCTGTTGACTTTCTTTTCTGGCCAACTTTAGATTCTTTGCTGCTTGATGTATGTTTGATTTCAAGGCCGCCAAACTGTTTCAAATTGGGAAATCTTACAATCAGCGCAGAATTCACATTTTGTATATCTTTACCAGATGCACTTGTCTGACCTGTATCATAAACTGTATCAACTGGTTCTTCTTTCACTTTAATTGTACCTTCACTTTCAAAAATTTGACATGTATTTGAGTGGTAACTGTTATTTTCCTCCACCAGCTGGTTCTCTGTTTTAACTGGTACCTGTATAACTTTCAGTGACTCTTCTTCGTTACACATTATCATTACTGGTATTGGTTGAATAGTGGTATCAATTGTGTCAGTTTGGTTTTTGTGTCCTATTGTTGGTGGGTAATTCTGTGTCATATCTGAAAAGAGTGACACCAGTTATTAAGGATTTTCAAGCGCTCATAAATATGTTTAACCCCGCAACATTCTTTATGTGCCTGTCCAAAGTCAGGAGCCTGTAGTTCAGTGGTTGTCGTTGGTTCATGTCTGTCATACTTGTTTTTAGTAATTTGTTTTGTTATAAATTAGGCTGTTAGTTTTCTCAATTGAATTGTTTCATATTTTTCATGTCGGGTCTTTTATAGCTGACTATACAGTATGTGTTTTTCTCGTTTTTGAAGGCTGTACAGTTGCCTATAATTGCTTTCATCCAATTCATTTGAAATTTGGTGGATCATTGGCAATCATATTACATCTCCTTATTTTTATATTTCTAGTTCTGATTGACTATAAGATTCTGATGAAGCCAATAGGGAACTTGAACTTGGAAATTGTTCTTTATATACAAAAAGATAAAAGTAAGTACTAACAAAGTCAAATGAGTGATACTCAAGTACTCCCTTATGGAAAAAAGTCAATGTATAGAAATTTTAAAGGGCCACTAGCTGTCGAATTCATGTTCACCGATTTGACTCAAATTCTCATATTTGATTTATAACAATGTAAAACATTTATCCAAACTATTAAAAGTCTAAAATTAACAATTTACAGGACATGGGCTCGATAATATGTAGCTTCGTTTCGTGTGTATTTTAGTCTAGACGCCATCTTATTAACTATCGAGTTTACCTCCGAAGTCGTCCGATGACCATATAAGCAATGTAAACATAAATATAGATATAAATAGATTAAGAGAACTCGTGCAATGAGATTTTTCTATGTCTTTTTAATTTTGTATTATAGATTAAAAATATATGTTTATTATCGTTTTTACCTGTATAAGAATGATTTTTGTGGATCGAATCAGTCAATCAAATGATTTACTTTTGTTTCACTTTCAATGTTGACATTCTTTTCCTTTAAATAACATAACACGAACAATTCATGCGTTATCCATCTCTAGCTAAGGGGTTAAATTGAAGTTCACATGTACAATGTATACAGATTCAATGAGGTCGTATTATATATTCACTTGCAAATGTGTCTTAGCTTATTTTGACAAAATTGAAACATACTGGTTGCTAAAAGCGAAGAATTATTTCACTATTTCACTTTCATTAATGATTGAACAAAAAAAAATCCTATTTTAGATTTTTTATATATCTCGTAGCTAGTGCCCCTGTAATAGTTTGAAAAAAATGATTGCAGTAAAAAAATTATAATTTCTACACTAACTAATAGTGTTAACTTAATCATAGTAAAGAAAAACAATATATATTTAGTTTTTTTTATTTCTGTGAGTTAAAATAAATTCACTATAAATTATCAGTTGTTCTGAAAACGCCCAGAACATTCAAGTTAAGCAGATATTGAAACTATTTAGCCCTCAACGAATTCTTTGTGAAAATAATAACCAGCAAATTAATACATTTGTACCTTGTCAATTAAACATAACAAAGTCATGTAGCTACAAAATTCAGTATGAAACTGAACTGGAAGGCTTTAAAAATCTGACTACTTACTGTACAAACATGTGTAGTGTAAATTCATGATCCTAAAAACAAATATGTCTACGCTATATAGTGTTTATCAGCAATTTGTATATTTTCCCCTTGATGTTACTGCCTAATATTTTTCTTGCTATGGACAGGACCTGTTACAATATTAGGCAATGATGCCATGTAAAAGTGCAGGAGCAAAGTCACATGTTCATGTCCATCTGCGTCAATTCAACAATGAAATGCATGTGATTTCATTCAACCAACCAAACAACTAGCACAACGTTTTCTAAGCGTAAAAATAGATTTACCTACTATTTCATTTTATTTCATATTCTCAAACAAAAAACATTTCGTAAAGACAAAATTGCCAATAAAAGGAATAACGGGATTTTATTTTTTGATACTGACTTCATCATCGTCATCAGCTCGAATATCAAAAATGACAAGTTAGTTCTAAATTCGATAATCATCCAATTTTACTTCCAATGATGCAATTTTTTTTTATGAATTGATATAGCTGTGACTACCCCTGGTATATATAATATTTACCTGTACTTTCTTTCACTATTGTTTCTTTAAAACAAGGAGGATTCTCTTTCACCGTACTACTAGAATTTTCAATAGAAAAGTAACTACTTGATACTGTGTCTTTCTGAGGAGATTTTGACTTAGTGCTCGATGCAGCTTTAGTTTTCTCTTTATTTATATTTTTAACACTATCTGAATAGGGTTTTTCTTGAGGTAAATTTTCTTTTCTTCGCCATTTTGGTATTTTGGTGCGTTTGAATTTAATAGTTTTATTTTGCTGTGGACAACTAACCAACCATTCTCCACTTGAAGATCGACCAATCAAAAGCTTCCCAGGAGGTAGGGTATAACAATTTAATCCACTAAAGTCATTTCCTTCCTTCATTAAATTGTCAACAGCATCTTGATTCTGAAATATTATATCCTGTTTAATACTGTCAGGGGCAAATAGTAGCAAGCACTCTTTCTCCGCCATTTCATGTAAATTTTCAACTTTTTCCTTAATGATAAGATCATTCTGATTACAATGTTGTCTTATTTTAAGCTGAAAGTCCTCACTAGGAAGGCTATGTTTCAACTCCTCTAGTAAAATTTCATTTGCTGGACTAATTATAACATCTATTTCGGACAATGGTTCTTTATATCTTAATTGCTGACCTTCTAAAAGGCCATGTTCATCTATAACAGTATGAGTAGTACTCCTTGTTGAGTTGGTGAAAGTGTGTAGTAAAGGCAGTCTTATTTCCATGAATTCAAATGCAGGATGAGTCATAACTAATGAAATTGGTAAGGGAGGTAATTCAGATGTGGTCAGATTACAAATTCCTGATACAGCTTTTGATTGCTTTTTTATTTTATTGTATAAAAGTTTTGATAAACTAGAAAACTGATTTTTAGTTTTATAACTGTTTTTAAAATGATTCACTTCTGGACTGTTTAACATTTTTGTAGATAAAAAATCTGCAGACCTAGTTTGTTGTATACGAGAATTAAACACACAACCAGTGTCAGAGTTATCTAAACTTTCTGGTGTCTCAGCATTACATGATGTAATATACATATCAAATCTATCATCATCGTCTGTTTCACTGTTGTCCTGATTCACTGAATTAATGCCAATGTTCTCGCATGACGAATCTAGTCCATTGGTTTCCATATTCTCATTAAAGGTATCCTTCAGCTTCTTTCTGTATACTGTATAGTGTAACTTTATCTCACTGAAAGAAAATGTATAAAAGTAAGTTACATATGCCTTAAAATCACCAATTATTGTAATTTCATGTCATGATTTTTTATAGCTTAAGTATTTTTAGACTGCTGAAACTTGATGAATAATAAATCAGTCTTAGTAATAAAATACTAAGATATGTTTAGATTAAATTGTTGTTTTTTTTAGAATTGAGAATTGAAAAGGGGAACATGTCAAAGAGACTACAACCCGACCGAACAGCAGAAAACAGCCCAAGGCCAACAATGGGTCTTCAACGCAGCAAGAAAATCACACACCTTAAGGCAGGCTTCAGCTAGCCCCTAAACAATAATGTATATTAGTTCAGCAAAATGGATGCCACACTTAACTCAGAAACATATTTATAAATGAACCAAAATTTTAAATAAACACAAGACTAACAAAGGCTAGAGGTTTCTGACTTGGGACTTTGGCTATCTTGCAGTACTAACTCCTATATCATTCAACAAGTTCTATGAGACTTTCTCCAAATACAAATATAATATCAAACTAGAGGCTCCAAGGAGCCTGTGTCGCTCACCTGATATTTTTTGTTTACAATTGATGCATGAAATAATGCAACCATTATACTTCTACTTTAGTTTCAGAGATATAGGCTAAAAACTGCATTTTACCCCTATGTTCTATTTTTAGCCATGTCGGCCATGTTGGTTGGTAGGCCAGATCATCAGACACATTTTTTAAACTAGATACCCTAATGATGATTGTGGCCAAGTTTGGTTAAACTTGTCTCAGTAGTTTCAGGAGAAGATTTTTGTAAAAGATTGAGTGCAGCCTGATATGATAGCAGTGGTAAAACCCTGAACAGTTGGGTCAAATTTGGACACAATATTCAAGCTTGATACTATCTGCATTTAGATTGTGATCAAAATTTTGACATAATATAGGTTTCTGACACAAAATAAATGTGGTCAAAGATCTTACAAATTTAATGCGCAATACTGTTTTGAAATTTGGAAAATATGGAAAAAAAAATTGGAAACCCCCCCCCCCCCTTTCCCCCTCAACTTTTTGAATCCCCCTTTTAGCATTAACCATAAAACTCAATTGCAATCTTTCCTTTGTAGTATGGAACCTTGTAGTACAATTTTAGAGAGATCCATACACTTAATCACAAGTTACTGTCTGGAAACTAGAAAAATGCTTTTTTCTAACCATAAAAGCCCATTTAAATACATCATAAAAGTATTAAAATAGAAAATGACATCATAGTCATGGCTAAAACCAAAAAACCTTCATCAGCAACTTTTAATAGTAATATCTAAAAATAAAATTCCTTCATCAGCATTTAAAAGTAACTTCTAAAAATAAATTGACAGCTAGGACTTTGCAACCATAAAAACTCATTTAAATACATCATAAAAGTATATAAATAGAAAAATGACATCATAATCATGCCTAAAATTAAAACACTTTCATCACCAACATTAAATAGTAATATCTAAAAATAAAATTCCTTCACATACATAATCATGGCTAAATTTAAATAATTTGTAAAATAGAAAATGACATCATAATCATGCCTAAAATTAAAAAGCCTCCATCAGCAACATAAAATAGTAATATCTAAAAATAAAATTCCTTCACATACATAATCATGGCTATAATTAAATTACCTTTATTAAACATTTTTAAAATAGTAACTTCTAATAAAATGCTCCGCAGGGTGCAGCTTGATATGACCGCAGAGGTTGAACCCTGAACAGTTGGGGCAAGTATGGACACAACATTCAAGCTTGATACAGCTCTGAATTTGGATTGTGATTAAATATTTGACACAGCATAGGTTTCTGACACAGAATGAATGTGGTCTAAGAACTTAAAAATTTTAAATTGGACATTCACCTATTATGGTCCAATATCCAAAATCTAAATACATGGTTAGATTCAGCATATCAAAGAACCCCAAGAATTCAATTTTTGATGAAATCAAACAAAGTTTAATTTTGGACCCTTTTGACCTCAATGTGGACAAAGTTGATAACGGGGCCCAAAAATCAAAAATCTAAATACATGGTTAGATTCAGCATATCAAAGAACCCCATATATTCAATTTTTGTTGAAATCAAACAAAGTTTAATTTTGGACCCCGATTTGGACCAACTTGAAAACTGGGCCCATAATCAAAAATCTAAATACATGTTTAGATTCAGCATATCAAAGAACCCTAAAAATTCAATTTTTGTTAAAATCAAACTAAGTTTAATTTTGGACCCTTTGGACCTTAATGTAGACCAATTTGAAAACGGAACCAAAAATTAAGAATCTAAATACATGGTTAGATTCGGCATATCAAAGAACCCCAATAATTAAATTTTTGATGAAATCAAACAAAGTTTAATTTTGGACCCTTTGGACCTCAATGTGGACCAATATAAAAACAGGGCCCAAAATCCAAAAACTTAATACACGGTTAGATTCAGCATATTAAAGAACCCCAAGAATTCAAGAATAAAACCCCATTGAAATTGATCAAGAAATAAGCAATTTATACGAAGTATCTTCTTTTGCACAATACTGTGCAATTGAATATTTCTTGCTATTATGCAATACTGTACAATTGACAATTTCTTGCTATTGCGCAATATTGTGCTATTGGATATTTCTTGCTATTGCGCAATACTGTGCAATTGAAGATTTCTTGCTATTGCGCAATACTGTGCAATTGAAGATTTCTTGCTATTGTGCAATACTGTGCAATTGAAAATTTCTTGCTATTGCACAATACTTATTATATAATAATTTACACATCCTGTTTGGTGTGTATCTCCTACCATATCATTATTATTTGCTTTTAAATATTAATCAGAAATAACCAACTTAAAATGGAAAATTTTAAAAGAGAAAAAAAAGGAAAAAAAGAAAAAAAAAGAAAAAAAAAAAATTCCCCCCCCCCAAATTTGTTTAACCCCCTTATGATTCATCACCCCCAAACTCAATCCCAGCCTTCCCTTTGTGGTATGGTACCTTGCAGTACAATTTCAGAGAGATCCATACACTTGAACACAAGTTATTGTCTGGAAACTAGAAAAATGCTTATTTTTGGCCCCTTTTTGGCCCCCAATTCCTAAATGTTTCGGGCAATTACCCCCAAACTCAATTCCAGCTTTCCCTTTGTGATATGGAACCTTGTAGTACAATTTCAGAAATATCCAAACACTTACACACAAGTTATTGTCATGAAACTAGAAAAATGCTTGTTTTTTGCCCCTTTTTTGGCCCCTAATTCCTAAAATTTTGAGGCAATTACCCCCAAAATCAATTACAGCCTTCCCTTTGTGATATGGAACCTTGTGGTACAATGTCAGAGAGATCCATATACTTACACACAAGTTATTGTCTGGAAGTTACAAAAATGCTTATTTTTGGCCCCTTTTTGGCCCCTAATTCCTTAACTGTTGGTACCATAACCCCCAAAATCAATCCCAACCTTCCTTTCGTGGTATTGAACCTTATGGTAAAATTTCATGGAGATCCATTCACTTAAACTAAAGTTAGAGTGCGAAAACCATTGTGTATTCGGACGACGACGCCGGACAACGACGACGACGACGCCAACGTCATACCAATATACGACCTCAAAATTTTTTTGCGGTCGTATAATTACACTAGTTCTAATATTTCAGGTGAATATATGGTGACAGTGTAATGTAATAGCTCATTTTTATTTATGTCAGCTTGTACTTAATTTAGAACTTTAAGTCAGAAAAGTAAAATATCATTTATTCTCCCTATAATAAATATTGACTTTTCAATTTATATCATATAAAGAAGATGTAAGGATAATCCCTCAGAGATTATCATAGGTTTATACATTTTCATTCTCCTTTAAAATGTGTGGTAGAAAGATATTTAAATACTTTTATAATGTACTTTATTTTAAATATTGACTTTAAGATAAAGTAGATTGCAATTTATGAGGTTCAAGATTAAAGATAGTTATCCTGATAATGATTTATACATAAATATATATATACAGCCTTCACATTTCAATGAAGCAAATGTCAACAACTTATAATATATTTATCAAATATTATTTTTTTTAAATCTTTTTAATTACAATTTAGACCAAAGCAAAACAGGTTTCAACACTCTTATTTATCAATTAATTTGAACTTCAGAAATAGCATTGATTTGAATCAGTTTAATTTTAACTCCTTTGATTTAAATTGAGCATGTTAAAGATATCTTAATTTATTTAATATGGTAATAAACTTAAATTATTGAGTGATAAACTGCTTCCCTAAGCGCAGCTGGATACGCCTGCCGAGGTCCAACCCTGACCAGTTGGGGCAAAAATGGACACAATATTCAAGCTTGATACAGGTCTGAATTTGGATTGTAATTAAATATTTGACATATTAAAAGTTTCTGGATAAACTTAGTCAAAGAACTTGAAATTGGTTATATGAATTGAATTTATATTCAATTAAAGATTTCTTGCTGTTGTGCAATACACTGTGCTGTTGCCCAATACTAAGTTAATCTGTTGTCAGACTATAAACAAATAAAGTTCAATTTCTTCTCAATGTCATATTTGAAATTTATGAAAATCAATAGGGAGATTACATCAATAGCTATAAATAATTTACCAAAGTTTCATGAGAACTGATGAAAGCATTTTTGAGTTATTGTCGAAAAACTGGAAAATCCCCCCCTTTTTTAATGAATAAAACCCTATAACTCAGAAATGTAAAATCTAAAATTTAAAAAATTCTAAAGGGAGCTTACATCAACAGATATAAACAATTCACCAAAGTTTCATGAGAACTGCTGAAAGCATTTTTTAGTTATTGTCAGAAAACTGGAAAATCCCCCTTTTTTATGAATAAAACCCTTTAACTCGGAAACGGTAAATCTGAAATTTATAAAAAACGAAAGGGAGCTCACGTCAATAGATATAAACAATTCAATAAAGTTTCATGCATATTGGTTAAAGCGTTTTTGAGTTAATGTACGACATGTTGA